TTCTAGTGCCGTCAGCATTAACGCTGCATTAACGCCCCGTGCGTTGGACTGCACAGCGTCAACGCGTTAACGAGCTAACCGTGCTAACCGTGCTACTGCGTTGACGCCGTGCAGCCCCACACACGGGGCGATCTGCGGTACCTCGCTAACTGAGATTTGCCGCATTAATGCGTTTATGGCGTTAATGTCATTTTAGCGAGATTAACGCAGACAGCAATAATTTCTTCCAACATATTCACAGTTTGTCTCCTACATTTGTTTTCTTATAAACTTCCTTGAATTAAATTCCATTTTTTATGAGAGTTTGACTCCAGTCAGTTACATAATATACAGACATCAGATAAAAGCAATTTTGATGCAAAAATGTTACTTTTAAAACACGCTGACAGAAAAATACGTTCATTTTAAAAATGCATAGAACTCAGCTGACTGTAAACTGAAGAAAAACTGTAATGCAGAGTCACAATCAGCAGCTTATATTTACACCGAGGCCACGCCCACACGTGCGGTTTTGAAAAATATCTCTGTCCACATGTAAACGGCAAAAACGTCAAACGTTGTCAAGAACAGGCCAAATCCTAGCCGTGTAGAAATGTTGGCCAATCAGAAGTCTAGAAGTCAGAGCAGGAAAGAGTAAACAGGGTTTACTTCTGTGTTACTTTTGAAGCGGCGTCATCATTTCAAATGTCAATAACCAAAAACAGTATTTTGGCTGGTGTAGACTCACAACTTAGGAATGAACCAAATGCATACAGCATGCACACATTTTAATTTAAAACAATTAAATTTATTCAAAAGCGACGACGTCAGGCTGTGAGAGCGTCTGTGTTGAATGTTCACTCTGACGCCTCTGTCTGTGTAAATGGAGGGACGGTAACTGTGTGTATGTAAGCGTGGACAAACTGCAGATAGATCAACAGCAGCAGTGTTTTGTCTATCCGCCATTGTAGAAATTGATCTCATGAAAACAATAACGTAAGGTCCAAACGCATATAAAAATCTGAGTTTTCAAAAATACTCGTGTCCGTTTGGACACCTGAGTAAAAACCCTGTTTATGCTGCAGGATCATGAAATGCAGTGACAGAGGTGTGACACACAGAAAACTGTCCATCGTCACTTCCTTTCCTTGAGCGGTGACCTTGTGACCTTGCGGCTTCCTCTGTGGAGTTGAGGCCGATCTATGCGCGACGTGGTGACAGAACGGGTGTGGTGCCAAAGATGAGAAAGCGTCCTGCGGGGACTTTAGAGGCAACAGACAAATGTGTGCGACTGTGCGTTGGTTTCCTCGGGGCTGTTCGGAGGTGATGGAGCAGACGAAAAGGCAGACGGCACAAGAAGCCCTGTGGGTGTTTCTGTTGTTGAGCTACTTCGGCATGTGATCCCCTCGCAGTGGAGTCTGTGGAGGAGTAAACATACAGAGCTGGGTTCAAACCGTGTTTTAGTCGCTGCGTCAACAACCAGAGGGATGTTTGTCACCACGTGTCCTCAGAAAAACCTTCAAAGTCAGTCTTTACCGTCGCGTGTGTGCAGACGAGCAGCGTGTCAACATGTTAGAGCAAACGTTAGCTTTTATTACAAACTGGATCTGGTTTGTTTACCATCAGTTAAATGATGATGGGCGCTAGTGACATCATAGCTGGCACGTCCAGTAACAACAAACAGGATCTAAGTGACCGTGGAGACGAACGGATCCACCGGGAAGTTGTTTCATTTTTTAAAGAACGTCCAACCACCTGCTTCTGTTTTTACAGTAAAATTCTGAATGCATGACTTTATAAGATGCTTTCTTCGCTGAACTGAAGGGCTGCCTCCACACGCCTGAAGAGGAAACAGCTGATATTTATAAAACTGTAACATTAGCTAACAAATGCACTCTTCTCTTTACGTGTCGCTGAGTGTTTCCTGTTACAGCAGCCGTCTCGCAGGCATTGCATAACATCGTCCTTCAGTGAGAACATCCACCACTGGGACCAGAATATGGTCGCTGCCTACAGACGCCACATCACAGCAGAAATGATACTGCCTCTAATAAGATCCACCACCGCAGGGACACACCAGAGCTGCAGATGGATGAGTTACAGTTTCAGAGTGGAGGACGGCGTTTTTCTGTGCCGTGCACGGACGTGTTCGTTCCCTC